AACTATTATGGAAGTTTAGTGTTAGTTTTGTTGGACATAAGTTTCCCTAATGTCCAAGCTGGTGACAGTGTGAACAGGATCCAATAGGTATGGTATTACAATTTTTAGCCATGTGTCCTCTTCGCTTACAAGTAAAACACCTATTTTCATTCTGGTATGTATTATTCCTATTCTGTTGGAAATTATTTTGACTACCACCTTAATTATTTCGTACTCTACAGTTTTTAGCAATGTGTCCAGGTCGGTTGCAACTATAACAGACTTGATTACCATTGTTATTACTATTTCTCCAATTGACATTATTGTATGCTGAATAACCGTGACCATTATTTCGTGGGTTGGTGGTAGTAGTATTTAGTAGTTATTTAACTTCCTTCATCAGTTTTTCATTATTTTCCTTAATCAATTGTTGCATGTTAGGAAGCTTTTCTCGTTCTGTTTCCTTATCATGTTGATTCAAATAGGTTTTGCTAAGGGAATATCCTGATAGAACGCTATCTTTAGAGAGAACAGCTTCAATAGCCTCGAGCTCGATTAATCGCCTTTTCTAAATCACGAGGTGCAACAGCAGCTACTGCGATTAAAAATTCAGGTTGAAGTCCTTGTAAGAACTGTTCAATTTTCTCATCTTCTGGTGTGTTATAATCTGGATCAAGTTTGAGGTATAGCGATTCAATATCTGCGGCATAATCTTCTATGGATTGTCTAGGGTATTGCTTACATCGTCTAAGTGTGAAATGCCATTGAGTTCTCCTATGTGTTGTACAATAATGCTTCAAGAAGTGGTAAACGAAAGATCAGTATTTATGTTGTCGATCGCAAGAATTATCCCAATATCACAAATCTTTTTCATTCTTAGTTTTGTTATACCAAATAAGGGCTGATCCTTTTAGAAACGAAAGGACTAATATAAGGCGTCACCTATCAGAAATTTCATTCGCATCTCCAGCATGGTTATACCTTTCCAACCATTCTCTAGGGTCTTAGTCTCCTCCCTTAAACATTGATAAATCTACAAACTTAGCTTCTCGCGATCTACCAAATCTAACAGTTTTAAAGATAGTCTGAAGGCCTTTCATCATTCAAAAGAGTTGTCTTTCATCATTATCTTTAGCATTATCGGTATCAAAAGGAGCTTTGTCGTCACTTTTTGAGTTACTATCTTCTGAGCTAGAACTAGAAGAAGATGGAGGACTATCATAATAGGAGGGAGAGCGGCGGCTCTTTGGTTTACCATTCTTCTTATCTTTTGACCTTCTATTTTTGCGCGAGTCTCGTGAATTATCAGTTTTTGACCGAGAGAAACATGAGGAGCAAACATTCTTTTTATCAGTAGTGGTATCTTCCTCATCAAAAGATTTGGTATAAGTTAGTTTAGATGGCTTTTCAGTTCCTCAATATGAGCTGAAAGTGGAGTTGTTAAAGCTTAGGGTTCGCTTTTTAGGATCCTTTCTACTTGGAATAACGTCTGCAATGATAGTATCCTCAGGTGGATAATTTGTTTGAGAAATCAGGTCTTCTTTTACTGATTCAGAAGTAGCACTATTTCTACGGCTCATCAAAGGTTTAGTCATCCTGGACGGAGAAGAATTACGACTTATACTTAGAAAGGATATATTAAGGTAATTGAGTAAATCTCCTCGATATTTCTTCTGGAATAATTCAGTTTCAGTTTGAGCTCAAAGACAGTATTCAACGGCTCGCTCAAAGGTTGGTATTGGTACTTGCTTGTATCTCAAAGTTTTAAGTGTCTGCTGATAATATATTTCTTGTACACCAGTGGTTTTTGCAGAGATTGCAATTTGAAAGACTTCTAAACTTTTGCTAGTATATAATATTGCTCCTAAGACTTTCTGTGCCCAATCAAAGAAATTGAGAAAAGATGGAGGGATTTCCTTCAGATGTGGATTATAAGCGATACAGGATAGATCGTCAGTTAGGACGGAAATAGCAGCTTTTCTAAAATTACGTTTTGATTTGTTGTGAATAGAAGAATGAGTCCTTTAATATTTTATCAATTCTCTAAAATTATTCATAGGGTGTTTCTTATAGTACTACGTAAATAGGAAAAGGAGGTCCTGTTATCATTGTTAAATGTTAACGTGCAATCCTTGCGAATTGCAACTGTTAGACGAGGTGTTCGAGTGGTGATTCTTTTAAGTTTACGTAACGACTCAATTTAGTTTATCTCAAGATTTATAATCTACATAGTGTGTATTCACAATAAAACTAGAAGCAAGGTGACTCGATTGATTCAGAGATATAATACTATGTTTATTGATAATAATAATAATAAAGATATGAGATAATAATAGAAAAATAAGAAAATAAGAAATAATACGAAAAGAAATCAAAAGAGTTAAAGTACTAAGTGGGATGTTAGGCCAGGCGCCTCTACAAGAACTACTAGATGTCAATCTAAAAGCAAAACTAAAGAAAACTAAAAGTGAACTAAAAAGCAAACTACTGTTTACATGATTCTATTGCTCTCTATTTATATTAAAGTAATACATAGATGGATATAACAAATAAATCAAATATATCTAATATGTCCGATATGTTTAAGATATCAATTATATCAAATATGTTCAGTATATCAAACATATCAAATATATCAAATATGTCCGATATGTCTAACATTTAGATCTGCAATATACTGCACCACGTTCGTCAATCCAATCCTGTTACAATACTCAATAATAAATACTTTAAAAATGTATTTAAATATGTTTGATGAATATTCAGTTAAAAATTTTTATAGTTTGTTATAACACTATATCAGTGCAGAAATATCTACTGAAAAATCATTTAGATAGAATAGGATGTTTTATTTTTAAATCATTATTAATATAAAAATTTATTTGTAATATTCTTTGAACCAAAATATAATTACTCTATTGTGAAAAAAATTTTGATGATTTAATTAAATTATTAGCTATTTTTCATTTAACAATTTATAGAAATATTTTAATAAAGTTTAATTAAAAAAAAAGGAATAAATTAAAAAGGATTTTTGCTATTTTTCTAATATTGAAACACGGTTCTCTTTTGATACTTTACTATTAGGATATTCTTTAAAATACTAACTAATAATTAATAAATTATGTGATTATTAAGAATGTATAGATCTGTTGTAAAATAATGTTAAATACTAATTTGTGAATACAGATATCACAAAATTTGTTTTCACATTTTAGGTTTATGTTTGTTCACATTACTTTAGTTATCTTTTCAATTTAATTGAAGAATTATCTCAATCTTATAATTAAAAATTACAAATAAATGAAGATATTGATAATTAGATAGATTCTTAAGTATAAAATGATAATGATAAACTAAATAACACTAAAATTATGGAAAATCAAGTTGGAATTGATAGTTTAATATTGTTCAATTCTTCAAAAAGTATATCTTTTGGTCTTAACTGCTATTTTTTATTTGTTAGTTTAGTGATATTTATAGGAATCATCATCATATAGTTAAATCTTAAACAAAAAATTTTTGATAAACTTCTGCATATGTTACTAGAATTATTAATAATCTTGATACAACACTAAAAATTAAAAAGACTTTTATTAAAATAAATAAAAAGCTTAGTGCACATATTTTTGAAGTTAACGTTAATTTTATTGCAAAGATTAGCAAAATTAAGAATAAAATCTATTTCAATTTTGTGAAGATCAACAAAATTAAGCATGAAATTAATAGTAAACTTACTACAAGAACTAAAAAATAATTTACGTGATATTAGTTACTTTGTAAAAATGCAAAAATAAGATCAATAATCAGTAATATTGTTATACAAATTGATTGTGAAGTCTACTGACTGAAAAATAGATTTTAACATATATAGTAACGTTTTAGGTATCTAAAGGATAACAATTTATGTTAACAATCCTAAAGTCTTGTTGGCATCAATAGAATTATCAATGTAAATCACTAAAATTAATGTATATGTTTATATAGAAGAATCATAATGATGGATTGGGTTTTATGTTATGAGTTTAACTAATTAAAGTTATAAGATAAAAGATTGGTTTTATTAATTAGAGAAATTGGGATTATTACCATTCAATAATTTAAATAAGCTTTTGTTTGCGAACTTACAAAATTAAAGAATAAATAATAAACTAAAGTATTTTAAAATTGTATTAGAAAAACTATCTAATAATTATTCTTAAGACTATCTAGCTTGACTTTATTAACTGAGTAATTATCTAACTTATAATTCACTTAAGACTACTTAGACTACCTGACTGACTAATCCATGAGAATACATGAAATTTCTATCCTATTTATATAAAACTTTAGATTTAATTCTATTACTAAATTAAGATAAAGTACAAATTAATAAATTACAGAAACTTTGTAAATATTATTACTTAGACTTTTTTTAGTGGATTATAAATCAATGGAAAGACTTGATTTTATCAATCGTTTGGCGATCTTCAGATAAGTTTGATAGAAAAGATTGTATTTAAGGATGACCCTGTCGATTTGCATAATAAGTTCACTGAGCTTTCAATAGTCGTCAACCATTTAGGTACTTAATTATTAACCAATGGTCGTCATGCTATTTATTTGTGATGACTCTAAATCCTAAACAATCTTTGATCTTTAAATTCTGTACGTTTATGCTGGACAAAAGATGAATATATCATTGTATTGGAAGCATGTTACCTTTTTAAGATTATCAGCTATTAGGCTTGTTTCCATCATTACTAAAAATTGGCTTGAAATTTCAAATTTCGATAAAAATAGCATGTTTCCATCATTATTGAAAAAATGGCTCGAAATTCCTAAAGAATAAAATAATTTAAATATGCATTCAATGGTACAACAAGCTTTTGTATTGAATGACATCATCTGATTTGATGGCTCAAGGGAGAATACGTAACCGCAGTTATTGCAAAACATCTATTCATTAGTTAATGAGCAATTCATCTTGGATGTATTGATGGAGATAACGCTCAATCGTATTAGACAATTCTCTGAACTTTCTATTTTAATGCTACAACTAATGTTAGACAATTTTGTTCAAAAGCGGTATGTGCGTTTACAAAAATAATTGAGGAAAAGATTGATTTAATGGATCTAGGATACTATGAATTTTTACTAAAGAAAATAAGAAAATGCAAGTCATTTGTGTCGCTCTGACAAAAGATTTAGGGATTCCAAATGAGTAAGTGATTTTTTTTTGCTAAAAAATTATTCATATTAATCAAATTTTATGTTTTTGATGCTTAGTTTTGTGAACAAATCATATGTCATGTCTTGTTAAAATATAAAATTTTTAATTCATATAAACTATAAAGAAACAATATATATATTTTTTATTATTTTTTATTATTTTTAATAAATTTGATATAAATATAATAATATATATATATATATTTTTTTTTTTAATTGTTCTAAATTGTTCAAATAAAAACCTTCAAAAACTCCAATCATCATATAAATCACGAAAAAAATACCCATAAATAAAAAAAAAGAATAACATAAAATACATAAAATATATATAAATAAAAATAAAATAAAAATAAAAAATGCTTAACTATTAACAAAACTGAAAATGCTATAAAAAATGCAAAAAAAAAAAAAAGTTCAACAGAAATACGGAAATGCAAAAAAATTATTACAATTGAAATGATGAAAAAAAAAAATGCAAAATTTCAGTGCTTGTAAAGAAAAAAAAATAGAAAAATATGTGCATTCAATCAATAGTAAAATAGTAATAACAATGCAAGAAAGCATCTTTTTTAATTAAAGTTTTTTTTTTTTAAAAAAAAAAATAAAGCATTTTAAGAAAGGACACGAAAAAACTAAAAGTCAATTAAAAAAAATTTTTTTTTTTTGTTGGTTTTAAATAACTCGTCAATTACATGATAAACTATTATTAAAAAAAGTTCTTAAATAAAAATCATAAATTTTTTTTTTTTAAAAAAAAAAAGCCTAAAAAATAATGGAATTAGTTTTTTTTTTTTGTTTGTTGGTTTTTTTTTTTATTATTTCTTAACCTTTGAAACTTTAGTTGTTGATGCCTTCTTAGGTTTATCTTTGCTCGCAGCAGTTGGTTTACGAGCGGGAGTTTTTGATGTCGCTGATTTAGTTGTTGAAGTTGTTTTCTTCTCGCGTTTTTCTGTTGCTGCAGCTTCCATCTCTTTGATGAGTGATTTTGATTTTCTACGATTCTTTGTGCATCCGGTTTCATCTATAAGATGTGCTTTCCAACCGGCTTCAGTCGCAGGCTTAACAACTGTCTTACAAAGAGGGCAGCGAACGATATCTTGTCGTATTGCCATACAAGACTGTTTTGCCATGTGTTCAAGGAAATCATCAGCTTCAATGACTTCGCGACATCGAGGACATTGTTTAACAAATTTACTCTTGTCACAATCGTTTAACATATGATCATCTAGAGTAGAAATCTCGAGAATCTATAAAATAAATGATGGTATTTAGTTAATCAGTTAGGTTAACAAATTCATAACCTCTACACTTACAATGTTGCACAAACGACAATTGGTCAATACTGGACAATCATTCCAATAATGTGTAACCAAGTTTTCCTCTGTATACCTTTCATCGTGTTCATCACAGAAAATACAGCATCTAAATAATAATTAGATTAGAATAGACCGTTATCAATGATAGGTAAAATGAATTTAGTAAAGGTTTGTCTTACCTATCACTCTTTGATTCATCAGGCTCATCAGTTAAGGGCTCGGAAGTTAATTTGCTTGGTACTGTTGAAGGGTCTAAGGAAATGATAATAAAATAAGTACAACAAACTTATTAAATTAAATGTTATTTACATATATGTAAATCCATACTTGAATTATTAGCAGAGGGTTTTCTTGCACTTTTTGATGTTGATTTTGCATCATCTGTTGATCCTCTTCGAGCTACGGGTTTAGCAGCGACCGATTTTGATGAGGAAGTTTTCTTACTAGGAGCGGCTTTACCATCATCTTTTGATTTCTTTGCTGGAGCAGCTTTACTAGGAGCTGTCGATTTACTTCCACGAGAAACTGGAGTTTTCTTGCTGGCAGCAGTAGCCTTGCCTCTTGGAACGGAAGGAGTTTGGCCACGACTTGGTTGTCCTCTACTTTCAGCTTCGGCTTGAAGTAATAGTTGTTCCTCTAATTCTGCTGCTTCTGCTGCTTCAATTTCCGCAACTAATTGAGCTTCCAATTCCAATTCCTCTAATTCATCTAATTCATCTTGGAAATGTGCTTTCGTAGTATTAGCGAGATAATTATCATATTCATCCTTAATAATGTGATTTGTAGTATTCATCCTGAACCGTAATTCCATCAATTGCTGTTCTAGTCGATTAACTGTTCCGCGTTTCGCCAAGGGTTTTTGAAGCAACACTTCGTCAACATCATAATTCTTCAATGCGGCCTTTTCTTCTTCTGTCAAACCTTTAGGTTTATGTTTGGGTGAAGGTGGGGGGGAAGGAACTTCACCTATTAAATATAAAAAATAATTCATTCATTATCATCATATAAATGGTTAGATAAGATTAGATGAACACTATCTATCCTACTTTACCTGCTACTTTGCCTGTCGTTGTTTCCCATTCGGCCACAAGGTTCCAAATATTTTCTAATAATGACGTTTCGACCTCCGCAACATATGATTCAACATTCTGTTTACCAATGCGTTTAACGATTTCAACCACAAGCTTTACTGCTCCATCGCGTACATCATCGTGATGATTGTTTAAATAAGATATTGATACTTCCATAAGAGCCTGATCAAACACAGAAGTATGTAAATAAACATTAATCCATTTTTTTTTTTAAAAAAAAAAATAAATAAATAAATACTAACGTCAAGACTTAGTTTGTTATCTTTATCAAATTTTAATTTTGGAATTCTGACAACCCCAAATTCTTCAACCAATCTAGTTATTAACTCGACAGTGGGCTTTGCTCGTTTCAACGGTTGAGATGGTGTCTTTGCAGGCTTAAGGACTAATGATAAAACTGATTGAGTCGGTGTCTTATAAGTCTTGGCTAATAGGATAAACAGATCAATGGAACTTCGTTTTACGCGATCATTGGTATCTGCTGTCTTGCCGAACAATAGCTCATAGCTCTTTTCAACCGATTTCCATGTTGAACTATTGGGAATTTGGTGGTGAACACAAAATTCTATAATGATAAATTAATTAAATGTTACTCAAAGATAAATTACATATATATATATATAGATTTTTTAAAAAAAAGGCAATAAAACTTACTGATTAATTTTTCCCAGAGAGTCAAAACTTGTAATGTGTACTCTTCTCTGTTATCATTTAAGGCCTCTTGTAAAACTTGATAAGTGGCTTTGACTAATAAAAGCTAATAGGAGATCATTTAAAATATTAACTATTGTATAATCATATTATGAAATATCAAAGTAATATCACAACTTACTTTATCGATACCATCAACATTCAAACCATTACCATCAACGATATCGATCCTCTTTGTAACATGAACTATGGCTGAATCCCTTAAAAAATATTTACTAGACAATATACATGCAATAATATCATCTCCATAAAATGGGATTGATAAATGAAAAGCAGATCTAGCTAATTTAGAGAGTGGTTCGGGTTCATTTTCAGGTAATTCATGTGGTGGTGGATGTGTCATGGCTACTGCATTTGAGGGATCTAATAAAGATTTATCATCTACGAACGGTGTCCAAGGCAAAGGGGTCGTTGAATGAGTAGGTGTAGTAGGTCTCGTGAGTTCTTGCTGTTGTTCATACGTGTAATTGTTATAATTGTTACCTCCTAAATATCGGTTTAATGATGCATCACTACTCCTCCGACTTAACATTGGTTCTGGAGCTCGTGCACCAGAACGATCTATTGACGCATTGCTGTTTGTTCGACTTTTTGGAATGTGTGCAGAAGTGGCAAATAAATGGTCTTGTTTGAAATGGTGTTCATTCTCAGAAAGTACACCAGTTACGTGGTTGGTTTGTTGATTTTCTAGGACATCATTCTATTTGAATATATAAATATATAGATATATATAAAAAAAAAAATTTACAAAACATCAATTACTACTATACTATACTATGTCTTTATAAATACATAAATATATAAATACTACAACTACTAATTTATACACTATTTATCATAATTTACAGTAAACAATAGATAAATACAAGAAAAAAAGACAAATTTTTTAACACTATTTAAATACATTTGAGCTTGACCAATAATAAGGTGGAAAAGCTCTTCTCTATAAGTTTATATACTAAAGGCTACACTCTTCAAAAATCATCCGAATAACGTATACAAAAGCCCTTGCCAGCAGGGATATGTAAACAGATTTTTGCACCAGTCAAATATCCGTGTTAATCCGAAGAATTCATGAGAGTTCACTTCCTTTTGAAATTTTATATCTACATCACTTAATCCTCGAGGCTAACGTGTTCGATATTCGCCAGCGAATAGAATCTGGGACTCACCTCAATTTCTTCAGCTAATCCGATAATATCTTGTAATGATGGATCATATCTGATCACCTCTCCTGAATCATCCAAATCTATACCTTCATCGGATAGAGCGTTACGGATCCCTAACCTAATGGATTCGACTTCACGCTAACGTTACAGTAAAGAATGAAATATTAAAGGTTTAATATACCGAAATAAATATAAATATTTCAAAATATATATATATATATATATATAAACATAAATTGAATAACTACCTTATAATTCTCGGCATTGTCAAAATCTTCATCTTCAACGGACTGCTTTTTCATTACTTCGAGGTTGCATACGTCTTTGGCAGCCTTGAAATTAATGGATTTGTATTAGATTAATCATAAAACGAAAAGCAACCATTTCATTTTTTTATTAAATTTTTACCTTCTTGATCATTTCAGAAAAAACTTTCAAAACTTTAGCCAAGTGAAAATCTTCAACTATAAGAAAAAAAAATTTTTTTTTCGAAAATTTAATTAACGACCAAATCATCTTAAAACAACGCCAAATAAAAAAAAAACATGCCTTTAACCGCGTTTTGTTTTGCTCTTCCAAACGCAGCTAACAATTTTTCCGTTTCCTCGCCATTTATCAAGAAATCATTGGCGGTTACCGGGTTATACTTGTTCGTTTTTGCGTCATTGTTAGTGTCATTGGGCAACGGGTTGGTAGTAGTGGAACTGCTAATATTCGCCGCTGATAATAATGAGTTGGGAAGAATAGAATATAGTGATGTGAAATTACTTTGATCATTTGGATTATTATTAATCATCCTATCTTGGATGAATGGGACGATACATGTCTCGGGCGATGCTACACGTGACAGACCTTCGTCAGCATGCTAAGAAAAGACAAAATAAAGTTAATATGATAAAGGTTGGTAAAAAAAGTTATTAATTGAAAATACAATCACGTACCTCGATAGGGATTTTTTGACTTTCACCTGCAAGTAAGTGATCAGCTGGTTCTCCCATAACGGTTATCCCAACTATACCGACCTATAATGAAGATATTAAATCATTATTTATTTTATTTTTATTTTTTGTAATTTCATTACAATTCAACATTCAGCATTAAGTACCTGATTGTACTGATTTAAATGATTTGCATAACAACGACGCGCAACTAATCTTATATATTCGCCTTCAGTATCAAGGCGAACTGATTTTAATTCTCGAACTTTATAATTAGCTCGCTCGTTGTTATCGAGAGCGCAATATCTATAAAATTTAAATATGAAAATTAAAAACAAAAACAAATTATTTACTATATTATGATATAGTATAAGGAGCATACCCTAATCGTCGAAATAGTATATAAGGTTCACTATTCGGCCGAATTATATCATAATCATTTTCTTCGGACGACGATGATGATTCTTCTTCCGGATCTAACCCGTCATTTTCAATAACCTTTGTAAGTTTGTCCCAAGATAATGTCTTTTGTTCATCAATGTTACTTCCAGTATTAGTATTAACGCCTACTATTTCTTTCCTTCGCTGTATAGTCCCGACATATATTTCTAATTTTGTTGCGATCTTATAATGATGTGATAATATCTGCAATTTTCGAATTCGGGCTGATCCACATGATACTTGTAATATTATTTCTTGTGGGTATTTACAAAGTCTTTAATATATTATTATAGATCAAGTTGATAAGTATAAGGGGATAAAGGAAAGTAAGTATAAAGATGGTAAAGTTATAGATCACGTGATTCGATCAAAGTAGTTACGCCTCTGTGTTGCACAGATCAAATCCCACAATTTTCAGAAAATATTTAAATTAATAAATAATTGTAAATTAAAAAATATTCACCTTGCCGATTGCCATCCCTTGCCATGTTTAATTTCTCCTCCAGGTGAACTTTTGTCTTTTGGCAAAAGTTGATGTGGCGGATAATTATCATCCCAAGTGGATGCATGTATAACTTCGTATTCCAAATGATTTAAGGGCATTGTCGCTTGTGAGGGTGCGGTAATTTGTAATAAGGAATCCAGTTTGTCGTTGTCGTCGAGAGCAACGTAAGTTAACGAAGGTGAAGATGGTTCTTTTGTCTTTTGACAGTCGGTTTTGACTTCAATGTTTGTAGTGTTATTTAAAATGTCTGCAAGTTCAAGCGTCGCGTCTTCGATATTAGGTGGCGATTCTTTAATATCGTCTTCTGTAACACTACTAGTATTTTCAGTTAATTTATTATTTACACCTTTCTCCTCTTCTTGTTCGTTGGCTGGATTGACAACACACTCTAATGCTACTTCCTTCGATAAAGGAGTTTCTTCAATGACAAGAGGGGTTATAGTAGGGTTGATATTCTTATTCTCTTGCGTCTCTGTCTCTACTGTGGTATCAACAAAAGTTTCCTCAATTACAAAATCAGTTGTATCAGAAGGTGATGATGGTTCGTATTCTTGAGACAGTTGATCTTCCTTATCTGGAGATATTTGCGGTGAAAGCGGAACACCACTAATCTGTTGTTGTTCAATCATAATTTAAAAGTCGAGCAAGTAAAAGAAAAAAGAAAGAAATGTTAAGTTTTTAAATGAAATGAATTTGAATGTTTCTTTTGAGCTAGAACTAGTTTTTGAAATAAAAAAGTCCAAATTATATATCACTGATGAAAAATTTTTATTTTTTTTTTTTTTGTTTGTTTGTGTTATCGGACCCAGTCTCCAGTCACCTCTATATATAATAGATTTTTTTTTTCAATATCAATCTCTTCTTCGAGAAATTAAACTTTTTTTTTTTTAGATTAAAAAAAGTTATCATCATCATAAAAAGTTGTAGGCACGTGCAATGATCCAAAACTTAATCCAAGAGTTTCCCAAATCAATCTTATTATTTTGGCATGGCATGGGCTGAGATTGAGCATACAGCTTTCTTGTGATACTCTTGTGAATTAACATAAATATATCGAAAAGAGAGAAAGAAAAATATGCAAAGAAAAAATATATGCAAAGAAAAAAAAGATCTTACGCAGATGACCAAAATCGGCAATAATCAAACCAAAATGAAAAGTAAAAGAACATAAAAAAAGAAATAAGGTTTGAAAAAAAAATATGTACGGATGAAACCTTACCTGTGAAAATAGTTTTGAAGGGTGATTGAACGGATACTATTAAAAATGATTTATATGCAGGTCTTTCGAAGTTGGGATGTGAAGTTAGGGTGTGACCGTCTAAAATAATCGATTTTTTTTTTTAAAGGGAAAAAAAAAAAAATTTCAAAGATTTAAAAGGTTTGTATATTATTATTATAAAAAAAAAAAGAGATAAAATGATAAGGGGGAAAAAGAAAGAAGTATATATTATATGAGATAAATTTACATAAATTAAAATAAATTTTTTTTCTCTTTTTTTTTTTTCTTTTTCTAATAAGTATTATTAATATGGAAAAAAATTACTAAAATTACTTTTTTTAAAGCTGCATCGAGGAAAGAAAAGGTGATATAGATAGATAGATATATATAAAATATTATTATTATTAGGCTTATTGTTAAAAGAGGGAAAGTTTAAAAGGAGGAGAGATAATAAAAATAAAAAATAAATGGGTTGAGAAAGTCAAAACAAAAAAAGTATAGTTCACAGCAAGTTTGCCTAACTATAAACTCAAATAAATAATGAGAGAACGAAATGACAATCTCTAAAAAGTGAAGGGAAGAGAGTAAAGGAGGTGAAAAGGAAAAAAAATTGACACCAATAAGCAACCACACCACCTTTTTGTTGCCGTTGTTTTTTTTGGTCAGATTTTTTTTTTATTATTATAATCTCCTTTAAGTTTTGTATACTAATTACTATAATAAATTTTTTGGAGGGATTGATGCAATGATGATTATGAACCAGATACACAGAAAATGTCAGACGAAACACAAATATAATGTTTGCCCGAGCAGTTTTTTTTTTTTTTGTAACATCAATTCATGATTGGTCTTTGTAATTATCGGACATTAAAGTAATACTTAACGTGGCAATTGGAAATAAAATATATGTATTTTGTAATGAAATTTATGTACGATCATATTATATTGTGTTACTAACCTCTATACTAAAAATAAATTTTATTTTATACTCACTTTACTTATTTTAATTTATGGCGGAGGATCAAGTTATCGAAAAGAAAAAATTTGCCAGAAAACCAGCTGGATTAGTTAGGTCGAAACAAAAGGAAAGATACCTTACTTTGGTTATTCTATTCTTTTTTAAACGATTTGCTTCGGGTACAACCAGAAACGTTGAGCATATATAGATAACAAGGTAGGGGGGGAGGGGGGAACTTGAAGGAAGAAACTTGGAAGGAAAAAAAAAGAAAAGGGAAAAAAAGGAAAAGATGAATAAAAAGATGAGACCATTTATTTATAATCTTTTTAGTTCAAAATATACAAAATTAAAATACCTATCAAATATAAAATCTAGAAACACGACATCTTCAATACCTTGCAAAATATAAGCACAATACTCTTTAGAATACATCATTGTGATCTGAAATGAATAAGGGGTATAACATCGGCGCAGAATGAAACTCGAGTTAAGATGACTTTATTGGAAATGACCTCGTTACAAATAAGCCCATATTTGGAGTTTATTGACAACTTTAAATTAGGTCTAAACTCAAATTTGAAAGGAAAGTTGATCATTTGATGAGTATTCCTTTTCCTATCTTTAGGAATTTAACCATGTTTTATGAGAGTGTGGATATCTGGTTATAAAGCAGGATTTTAAAAAACTTTTAAATGTTGACTCACCTTCCACAGCCGGAAATCAACAAAAATTTACCAAAATGATTGTCAATGATTGGTATTCTTCAAATCTAATTCTAATGAATTAACGGCGACTTCCGCGCGCGCGTAATTTTTGATATGTGGATTATAAGGCGCAACATTTCTTTGCTAATTTTAATCCTTTGCTGTATTTTGATGTGATACAACAAAAAACAACAAAAAGCTACCCCAGATAAATTAATTTAATTAATGAAATTAACGGGCAGGAGAAGATCTTTTCACCTCGGCTTTTTCTGATGAATATAGCATAAAATGTTGTGGCATGACATAAATAATACTTGACATCATTTTATCGAATTATATTATTGAAAATCATTTTGTTGAAAATCAAATGATCACAACATTATCAAATGGAAAAACATTGAGCTGTCAGGTTATAACAGGTGTGATGGCTATGCTATTGCGTCACCTCGTTCAAATTTCTTAACTTGTTAAAAATCGTCGCTCTTTGCCTAAATTTATTTCGCGATTGTTATCTTTTCCTATTGTCCTTTTTTTTCATCCCTCCTGAATAATTTTCGAACAAAAAGTTTTCGTATTCTTCTAAAGTCTTTTTCGAAATATTGTTCAAAATGTCAAAAGTATCAAGCAAAGTTGTGCATATTACATTTATTCATCACATTCTTTTTTTATCATATAACAAAGTATTATGCGCAATACACATGTAAATAGCTCTGAATGTTGGTGTGTTTTCGTTAATTTTCTTTGTCTAATTAATTGTGAAATCAATAATTTCTTTTCTTCATTTTTTGCTTATCTTTTCTTTATCCTTTTTTTTTTTTTTTTTTTTTTGTATGATAAAGATGTAATGAAACAGGTTTTATTTTATTTGGTGCTTGTCCTTCTTTGTTAACTAATAAGATTATAAAGAATTATTCAAATGTTTATTGTAAGATTGAAAGATTGTAAATAATACAAAGTTAAATCAATTGTTACTTATTAAAATAAAAAAGTTGTTTAGTAACGCGTAAAAAAAAAAAAATCCTCCCATACAATCGCGAGGAATTTTGATTCTCTTACCGATTATGGTGATTGTTATAGTTTTAAAATGCAATCTTTCCACTATACAACTTAGTGAAAATGTATGGTCGTTCGAATTCTCATACGCTAAATCTTTATTCCCGTTAATCTATTCTCGATCCAATGTGCTTCCACTGCTTTTCTTCTTAATATTGTCCCTTTGAATGGCGACTGCGCTTCTTTTCTGTTCACGTGAAGTATCATTGTTTCTCGATTATTACCTAAATGGTTAATCGATTTGTTAGATGATCTAGATATAGATATAGATCATTTCAGATCTAACGTTGAAATTTGGTCGCTCGAATTCTTTCCAAGATCATCAGATGGCCGCAGAGAGGTAAGAATTTTTTTTTTTTCAAGTCAAACCTTTTTAATTTGAAATATTCGAATATATTTATTTACTTTCTTTTCTCATAGGAAAATTTTGTTACTTGGTTCCGGATTCGTTGCTGGTCCAACAGCAGAGTATATTTTACGGAGACCTGAAAATAAGTTGACTATCGGTATGAATGTAATTTTGGTTCATTGAGAGGTTATCGTTTGAATTTCGAATATCGAAATCATTTGATTATCATCTAAAAATAGTAGATCGTGTTTGTTGTTTACTTGTCTACACAAAATAATTAAGCCAAATAGAGTTCTTAATGGATTTGAACTGAATGTATGGGCAAAACAAAAAGTTATTGTAAAACAAAAAAAAAAAAAACAAACAAAGCAAACAAAAAATTTTGCTGAAAGTTAGTATAGATGCTTACCGTCAAGAATATAACTAATTATATTTTAGTGGTATTTCAAAATATAATTTCGGCAATTAATAAAATTAGTTTCGTCTAAAAAATTTAAGTTTTGTTCAATCTCGGCTTCGTCAGTTTTAAAGTAGTAGTTCCGGCAAGCATCATTACTGAAATGATTTTCGATATTTGAAATGATCTTCGATTTTATTTATCTTATTTTCAATCGGAAACCCTAAGGTCACTAACAATTTGAATTATTGAATTTAGCTTGTAGGCGCATTACAGCTGCGGAAAGCTTCGCCAAGCAATTCTCTCGCGCCACTCCAATATCACTAGACGTTACTAACGAAAAAGCTCTTGATGAAGTAGTTTCATGCCATGATTTAGTTATTAGGTGAAATTTATCTTCATATATTGGGGGTGTAGGCCGAATTTAGTTACGACCTAACGAAAACACAATTCGTTCTATCGAAATAAGATTTCGGAAATTTCGTTACAAAGTCAGATCCATCAAATTTTAAAAATCTAGATTAAAGATTTTACATGGATCGAACGTCCTTTATGTATATAACATTATTAACCTTTTTTAATTTTACTCTTAGCTTGATCCCATATACATCTCATCCATTAGTTATCAAATCTGCAATCAAGTTCAAGAAACACGTGGTCACAACTAGTTATGTCTCTCCTGCTATGAAAGAATTCGATGCTGCGTAAGATCCTCTTTATAGATGAACCTTTTATTTTCTTATTTTTTTTTTTATTTTAAAATCGATAAATATTGTGTAGTGCTAAAGAGAATGATGTGACCATTATGAACGAAATTGGTCTTGATCCTGGTAATTATAATAAATGGATAATGTGGTTTCAATCCCTAAAATTCTTCATTGACTTTTTTTTTCGTACTTTCAAGGTATTGACCATCTATACGCGTTGAAAACTATAAATGAGGTTCACG